CGGCACACTCTTTCGATTTTGTCTTCACTCGCTTCCAGTCCAACAGCAGATGATGCTCCTTGCTTTTTCAATCTCATTCCCGTCAGTCTAGCCTTTCCATAATTTTTTGTAACCAATCAAAACATTCTTTCCTTGTATTCAACTAAATTCCAAAACTCTCTAAATTCTTAAAACTCAACTACATTCAAATTCCCGTAATTGTGTACAAATCATCCAAGACAATTGTCTTTCTCCAACTTTCGACTTTTTCCTGCACCTTTAATGACCGTTTTTGAGATAACAGAAACGAATCCTTGACAACGGCAGGTAGATATCATATTTCAGTGCAACTAAATATTTACAAATTATTTATAAATCTATTAATTTCCATAATTTAGAAAATCCCAGTTGAAACATAAATCTAAAATTGACCAGTTCTCTATTTTAGCTCTTCAAAAACACTATAAAATTAAAACCGTATATCTAGAATATAATTGTACCATAATTTTACAAATTGTTTGTCTTCATCTTCTTTTTGTCTATATACAATTCCAGATCATATTAATATATTATATATACCAAAATACAAACCCATACACAATGTAATACCAAAATACTATTTAACGGTCGATGCGTCATAGGAATTAACGCTAAAGTTAAGTTTGAAAATGATGTGAAATTATTACAATAATCGATCTAGAATTTGCCGATTATGCTGCCTACCGTAATGTTTGCATTAGTTGTTTTGTACATTCCAATCAATAATATTTAGCAATAACGCCATGCCACATCATGCATAAAACAAACCTCTATAGATACTGTCACAAACCCACAAATCACTCGGCGTCGCTCCTCTTTATATTCACGTTGGATTTGTTATAAATACCAAAATTTATATTTGTCTGTGACTTTTCACTTCCACCGCTTTTGGTTTTGATTTGTGCGTGATTGGTTTATTTTAAAACCATGAAAATTTTTACTGAAAAAAAAAACAGAGTTCATTTAATTCGTTAATAGATTCATCCGAAATTTGATGAAAATTTATTTGTAAAGTATACTATTATGTCTTTCTTAATTTCTAAACACATGATTTAATTGAATTCAACAAAAAAATATAAAGTATAGATAAGATTATAAAGCCACTTTAACGTTACTTACAACCTCACCTGTCCAAATATGTCTCAAATGAAAGATACATTATCTTGGCAAATTTTAAAGTCTAATCTATCTATTGGCAGATGAAATTAATAACGGATTAATGAATGTTACAGAACAAATTCTGCAAAATACTAAGACGGAGAAAAAAAAATGGTTATTAATAAAGACCGAAATAAATAAAAGTGAAAAAGAAATTCTAATACCAACCAGATATAAAAAGAAACAATGGATGACGGAAGAAAGTTTAGATTTAATGGAAAAACGACGTGAATATAAGAACAAAGATAATCAGATGTACAAAAAGTGGATAAACAAATAAAATAGAGAATTAAGAAAGCGAAAGAACAATGGTTAAAAGAACAATGCGCAGAAATAGAAGAATACCAGAAAAGACATAACACACATAAAAAAATTAAAATTAGTTCACAACAATAGAACAAGAAAACCGGGGACACTGAAGGAGCAAATAGGAAACTTGAGTTGAATACTAACGACAAATTAAAGAGATGGACAGAATACATCAGTGAACTGTTCAAAGACAATAGAACAGAACAGATGGAGATAGAAGTAAAAGAGGATATGGTTTTAAAGATATTAAAGGAGGAAATTAAAATGGTATTAAAAAACAACAAAGATGGTAAAGCATTAGGTCCAGACCAAATCCCTTTAGAAATCTTAAAATACATAAATGATAAAACCTTAGACATTATAGTAGACTTATTTAACTTAGTATACAAAACAGGGCACATACCGAAACAATGGTTACTCTCCACCTTTTGTGCTATCTCAAAAAATACAAACTAAATACTGCTAAATATTGCAGTGAATAGAGAACAATATCGCTAATAAGTCACATTCTTAAATTATTCCTGAAAATAATAAATGGTCGTATAAATAAAAAATTGGAAGAAGGAATACATGATAGTCAGTTTGGGTTCAGAAACGGACTAGGAACCAGAGAAGCGTTATTTGATTTTAATGTGTTAGCTCAAAGATGCATGGATATAAATGTTCATGTGCCTGTTTGTTACGTTGATTTTGAAAAAGCATTTGATAAAGTAAGACATGAAAAATTAGTCCAAATTCTAAATACAAAAAACAGATCATAGGTATTTACGAATATTAACAAACCTCTACTAGAATCGAAGAGCACAAATCGTAATAGATAACGAACCCAGTTGAGAAATTGAAATCAGGAGAGCAGTTAGGCAGGGATGTATTATGTACCGATTACTATTGTATATAGTGAAGCCATTTGTGAAGATTTCATATACTGAAAATAAATATAAAATAAACCAAATACATGATAATAACAAAGAAAACAAATATACCAACAAACATACATTTGGGAAATGTACCGATAGAAAGGGTTCGTAAATACAAATACCTAGGAACCTGAATTTCAGACAATAATAATCAAACCACCGAAGTAAGACCTAGGATATAAATAGCAAGAAATGCGTTTTGTAACAATGAAAACAATTCTCTGTAACAAAGATCTTAGATTAGAACTGAGAGTAAGAGCACTGAGATGCTACGTGTTTTCGATACTGTAGTATGGACTTAAAAGCTGGACATTGAAGCAAGAACACATAAATAAGTTACAGTCCATTGAAATGTGGTGTTACAGGAGGATGCTTAGAATAGCATGGACACATAAGAAAACTAACACGAAAGTATTGCGAGAAATGGGCAAAGAATGCGAAATAATAAACACAATAAAAATAAAAAAGTTACAATATCTGGGACACGTAATGAGGACTTAGCGATATGAACTGCTAAGACTGATAATACGGGGAAAGATAAGAGGAGGAAGTAGTATAGGAAGAAAAGGAGTGTCATGGTTGAAGAATTTAAGGGACTGGTTTAAATGCAGTTTAATAGAACTCTTCAGAGCATCAGTAGATAAAGTAGAGATAGTGATGATGATAACCAACCTCCGATTAGGAGACGGCACTTAAAGAAGAAGAATCTATCTATTTCAGAACTAGTCTGCCATTTATTCAGGACAATAACCTAATTATAGGCCTAAACACAATATTCTCAAGTGACGGTGGTATAAATTATGAAAAGGCATGCTATAAATAGAATAACTAGAGGCAAGAAGAAATATATATTACAAATCAAAACGTTGCACATCAAATTACTTAATTTACTAGAGATTTCTAATTTGATAGTATATAATTTATTAGAGATTAGTAACATAAAAAATATACAAGAAAAGCGCGTATAAATATATTGAAATATAATGAAAGTTACTTACAATTTATCCCAATTATTTTGTATTAAATTATTTTTTTCTAGGCTGATACATCAGCGGGATGTGAATATGCTCTTATTTCTAATTACTGTAGCTTGGCGCATTATTGTGTTCATAAGACTTTTGCCTTCGCAGAAACGATTCAATTGCTCGTATGCGTTATCTATTTGCTTACCCTTAGTAAGTTAAGTGACACTGAAGATGGAATCAAAATCAAAGGACAGACTATTAGTAATCTTCGCTATGCTGATGATACAATTATAATAGCTAATAGCCAAGAAGCGCTACAAAGACTAATAGATATAATAAGCACTGAAGGAGAACGACTGGGCTTGAAGATTAATATAGAAAAGATGAAGGTAATGGTGGTTAGTAGAACACAAAATATGCAATTAAATATAAGAGTAAACAATAAAAACATCCAAAAGGCCCCCAAGTTCAGATATCTCGGTAGTTAGATAACGGAAGATCTAGATCCAGACATAGAGATACGTAGCAGGATTGAGCAGGTCAGAACAGCATTTACTAATATGAGAACCTTGCTAAGCAACAGCAGCCTTAATCTAACGTTTCGATATCGCTTTGTAAAATGTTTACTACATATTGCTATATGGTGTAGAAACCTGGACCATAAAGACCAATGTGATGAACCGATTGGAGGCCTTTGAAATATGGGTATTTAGAAGACTACTTAAAATTCCCTGGACAGATCACACAACAAAAATGTCGAAGTATTAAATCGAATGGGCAGATAACGAGATTTGCTGCCAATAATAAAAAGAAGAAAGACTGCTAATCTGGGTCATACCCTGTCGAAATTTCAAGTAGCAGTTGAGTTGAAAAGAAACAGATTGAGAATCGTCAATATTATTCACGAAATTAATTTCCCTATCTGATACTCACTACTGGTTGACTCTTCTAGTTGTATTATAACTCCATCTTCTAGTTTTACTAGTAGATGGGATACATCTGGGTTATGATCATAATCCTCTAGTACATCTAGCCCACCATTTAACTCGTCCTGACTATCCGTCAAATTGAGGATTGCTTATATAAAATAGATAAAATTGCAAGACAATAACTGGTAAATAAAACTCACAAAACTAAATTAGTTGTACAAACTTCTACACGTGCTAATCGTGTAATGCCGATGCGAACAATATGGTCCGTTCTTCCATTGAAAATAGCTTTAGACTAAATCCCAATTCACTATCAAAGATAAGGTTGTAGCAGAATGTACACACTGCGTAGGGTATCTTTGAACGTATTTAAATTAAAAATACCTACTGTGAAATCGAGACGTGTCATATCTGTTACACTGCGCAGTGTATTGTTAAAGCAACTAAACCATTGATGACTATCATACCCATACTAGTACTCCCAAATAGGTATTTTAATAATAAAGAACATTAATGGGTAATTTTGAAGTGCTAAAAATACAAAGGATTATAAAAAATAAAATATTTTTCAAATGTTATTTTATTTTCAGATTTATTTTTAACTGAATTTACATTCAAAACTTTTCCAATATTTGCTTTTTTCCTTAGAAATCTTAGATGTCAGAAATCTGAATCTTAGATGTCAGAAAAAGAGTTTCTCATTCTTAAATCCAACTTTTTGGAGTAGTTGACCTAAAATAAAACAAATTAATATTATTTATTTTATGCAGTAATATTAATCCTAAAGTGGATTGTTTATTTTTTAAACTAGATCACTAACAAAAAACTGAAGCCCATAAATTGCGCTTTTATCGCAAAATCCTGAATGAATCATTGACAAAGCAATTAACAATTAATGAAGTTGTGAGAAAAATATTAGAGACCATCAACACAAATAAGTTGTAATACTGCGAACCTATTATAATTGAAAAATATACTTAAATAAATATATAAAGAAAAATTCAGATCAAAATAAGTATAGAAACGAAAACAGTAGTATATCTGCATATCTACTGGATCTAGTGGACAAGCTTAGGACTGTTAAAGGAGGTAAGTAAGATTGGGGACCGGAGTTGGTACGCCCTGTCCACACCTCCGGTTATCTACCATGGGCGAAAGCTGCCAATTCCAACTGCTCTGCCATATACTGTCATGGGAGAAGCGACTGTGTCGGTTATGGCCTATCGTCAGATAGTTTTAAACGTAGCCCTCGGAGAGAATGGCATCTCTTTGTTGCATGGTAGCCTTGGCGAAGTAAGGGCGTACTGCCTCGGTGGACGGATATTTCTGCCCCACTGGTGGGATATATAAGGATGTTAACAAAGTAAATAATGTTGAAGGAGTAAGAAGCGAAAGCTCGGGAGTGTTTGCCAGATGTAAGAAGATATAAGACGCAGGCTGTAGTACTCAGAGACTACAGAAAGAGACAGAGTGTTGTATTTGAGTATGCGGGAGCGAGAGTGGTGCCCAAAAGATACGTCAAGTAGTGGAGTTACTTTCCATCAGGGTGGGAGTTGAGTAGAATATTTAATGGGGATGACCCACAGAGCTATTCAGAGAATGGCTGCGCCGGGAGGGTAATAGTCAGTCGGTGGCCCCAAATCCGAAAGGAGAAGGGCACTTCACTTTGTTAAGCAGTCCGTCGTCCTATACGCGGCCTCAGTCTGGAGTGAGGCGGTAGAAATTCTAACTTACAAGAGGCTTATGGTACGCGTTAAAAGAACTAGTCTGCTGCGGGTAGCATGTGCCTACAGTACTATGTCAGCTGCCGTTCTGTAAGTAATCACCGGCTGTGTTTCCTTACATGTTCTGACAGGTCGAAGGGTCAGGATTCATAGTCGTAGAGGGCAAAACATTGGAGAGTGAGAGATGAATGAGATAAAACAAGCCAAGAGATTAGTTATAGTTGGTTAGTAACAGCAAGAGTGAGAGCCATTATATCATGTGGCGGATTGGCCGAAGTCACTAATCAAAAACCTTCGAAGCTGCATGAAATGTAAGCATAAGCAGTTGGATTATTATCTGACTCAAATGATCACAGGCCATGGCTCCTTCTGCAACTACCTTTTTAAGTTTAGGAGGGAGAATATTTCATTAGATAGCAATCTTGGGAAAAATTGTAGAAAAAATCGAGGAGCATACCATAAATACCTAACACATGTTTGTAGACTACAAGTCAACCTACGACTCATACGTCATTACGTCATTTTAAAGCAATCAAAGACCCAGGAGTACCAAATCAGTTGGTAAATTTAAAAACACTAACACTTGAAAAACTTGAAAGTAGAGCACCAACCCAGAAAAAACGGTCTAAAACTTTTAAAAGGTTCAATACGTAAAACTGTTCAAAGGGTATACTGTTTAATCTAACTTTAAAAAAAGTATGTCATAAATCACAACCAACGGTTCAGTATACAACAAATCAGTGCAAATTCTTGCCTGTGCTGATAATATCAATATAATTGGTTAAACGGAAAACGCTGTACGAGAGACATAGTTTCACTAAAAGAAGCAGATGCAAAATAAGCTTAATTATAAATATAAACACAATAAAATACATGAAACTAAGCATGCAACCACAAATCCTACAGCCACTTGTTAGAAAAAAAGACATGATTAAAACACTGGAAACAACATCAATGCAGAGCTAAGCTGCAGAATTTCATGGACAACAGAAGCTATTTTGAGTTCTCCTTTTTGATTCCGTAATTATATCAAGAAATACAATTAAATAACAAAAGATTAGACTCTAATAAAAAGTAATGAAAACATGTTAGACTGTTTTGAAATAAATGTATTACAGAACGGAGAATGCCAATGTAGCCTGGAGAAGACCATACAGCTTCGAACTTTATAGAATACACCAGGAACCAAATATTGGTAGGAACCAGATCAGTTAACATCTGTTGTTGTGATGTGATATTCACATTGATTTTGAAAACCATAAACAATGAGCAAAATGAAGGGGAAATTTTTATAACTGACCTAGCCTGTTTGCTAGTAAGTCAACAATTAAATTATATTTAAATAATGAGTAAACATACCCAACTTTCCAGCAGATCGGTTCCACCAATTTCAAGGATTCGTGGTTACGTCTTCCTCTGTAAATTACAAATTAATTATTTAATTAAGTATTCAATTATAAAATATGATTAAGTGAAATAAATGAATTTATTTTATTATGAAAATTGCATGTTTATTTATATTGTGCATACCTAAATACTAAATTTGTTATGTTGAGACTTTGCGTGTTTGTATGAAAGTTGTAAAGGTATAAAACCTAAAATTTTTATTTATTAATAGTAGATTTGGTATATAAAAGAAACGAACAAGCTGAATTTTGCCGAGAATGCCAATTTTGAAACCTTAAAAAAGATGAAAAAGTTCACAACTCCTATCATCTGGCTTCCTCCTAAAACCTCGTAGAGGGAAAATCAGAAACCATCGCTTTACCAAGAATCTGTGTGCCGTATGGAAACAGGCGTATACTTTATTCATTTGTTAACCTTTTGTTTTATTTTTTCATTTTTGTTTTCTTCTAAATATTATTTTTAATCTTTATTCTTCAATCTCTTTTTGAAGGTATACTTCTATACGCGCGCTCGACGTTGGAAATTTATACGGGAGTGAATTGGTGAAACCATTACATATGTAAGATATGAGTAAGAGAGAGACAGAAGGTATATTTTCACTCTCTTTCTCTCGCGAGAATGAAAATGTTTCTTTTGTATATATATATATATATATATATATATATATATATATATATATATATATATATATATATTTAATATTATATACATAATATTATATATATACAGAGTGGCCAAAAAGTCTGGAAACGGCCAATTATCTCGTAAATTGCTAGTTATAATTATACAAAATTTGAACTACACCTATTTTGGGATACGGAGATTCCATATTTGATATTTGCAATTGCAAATATCTATAAATCTATAAAAATCTGCAATTGTTGCCAGATATGCTGTTTCTCTCATATTATTAGTAACTTTGGGTTTTCAAATGCATCACCCTGTATATTCAGTCATTATTAGAATCTTCTATTCAATACGAGTTTAACTGTATGTAACACTTATGATTTTTTGTAGTCTGGAAGGTCTTAAATACATAAAACAGAAGTCTGCCAACGCCTAATTGTTTCAATAGATTTTTTTATACTATAGTGGATTTTTATGTATGAGAGAGTAATAAAACAATAAATTATGTATGCAAATCCCTAAACTGTTGATACGGGTGACTCAATGAAAAACAGATATTTGTCAACAAGTTTACAGAAGTATATAGGAAAACAATTTTAAATTGAGTATGACCACCAGGTATAAAGGTTAGAGCAGAATAGAATACAATAGTTGTGAGGGTTACTAATCCCTAAATAAGGTTGCCAGTGTCGGAGTGATGGAGGTTAACAGGTACTAATGAATTTGCAAGAAATGTAAGATGTTTATTTTATTGGTTATATATAACCAATAAAAGTTTAATAAGTACCTACCTATTTGCAAAATTAAGTTTAATTCTTTAGATAAAATAAAACGTTTTATTTTATCTGAAATGAGTGCATTCCACGAAGTAAGGATTTCAACAATCAAACATTTAATTCTTTAATTCCAGGAATCTACGACAGTAATTGACTAGATAATTACCTTCTAAACTTATTCCACAGAAAATGTGATAGTGGGTTTTTCCATTTTGTAGGAAGGTCCAAGTGGCGTGTTCAAAATTCTTAACAGTTCACTAAAAGTAGGTACTTCAGTTGCAAGGTGCAGTTTATTGTGTATACTAGTGTTATGGAAAATTTGGAAGTGCCGTGTAAACGCCGAAAAATTGGTCCTTTAACAGTTAATGAAAAAACATTAATATTTAATTGTTTTAAATCATTTACAGACAAACGTTTATGTGAAAGTGTTAATGAGACCGTTAAGTTAGTTAGCAGTATACTTGGTGTTGGGAAATCTACGATTTACAGAGTTATTAAAGAAGAGAAATGTGGTAGTTTTCAAATGCCACGTAATACTCCAGGGAAACCAAAATTTCAAATAGAATATCATTTTAAAGAAGGACTTCGACGGAAAGTGCATGAATTCTTCTTTAGACAAGAATTTCCAACATTGGATAAAGTTCTTGTCTCAGTTCGAGATGATAAGGATTACCCAGAAATGAGTCGAAGTACGTTATGGAAACTTTTAAAAGAAATAGGCTTCCGCTGGAAAAAGAATCCCAGAAAGTCTATTTTATTAGAAAGAAGCGATATTGTCATATGGAGAAGACATTTTCTAAGAACCATAAAGAAAATGAGAAACCAAAAAAGAAAAATATTTTATCTTGATGAAACATGGATCAACGAGGGTCATACACCAAATAAATTTTGGCAGGATGAAACTGTTACAAGTCAAAGGCACGCTTTTGTAAATAACTTATCTACTGGTTTAAACCCACCATCAGGAAAGGGACGCAGGCTGATAATAGCACACATTGGCAGTTCAGACGGTTTTGTTGAAGGTGGTTTATTAACTTTTGAATCAACTCGTACCGGTGACTACCATGAAGACATGAACGTTGATGTCTTTCAAGAATGGTTCGAACAAATTATAGATCTTCTTCCTAACAACTGTGTAATAGTAATGGATAATGCAAGTTATCACTCCAGACTTATAGAAGGACTGCCCACAACCAAGTGGTTAAAAAAAGACTTGCAGAATTGGCTGAGTTCAAAAAATATTACGTACCATCCCGGATCTATAAGAAAGGAACTTAATTCGTTGTGTGCCCTTCATAAAGAAAAATTTAAAAAATACGAAATTGATGAAATTGCCAAAAATCGTGGAAGGACAGTACTTAGATCCCCACCATATCATTGTGAATTAAACCCGATTGAACTGGTATGGGCACAGATAAAGAGTGAAGTTTCAAGAAAAAATACCACTTTAAAATTCAAGATGTTAAACAGTTGTTTTTGGAGGCCGTAAATAATGTAAAACCTGAAAACTGGGAAAAGGCAGTAAATTACACTATTAAAGAAGAGGAAAAAATGTGGAAGCTGGACAATATAACTGATAAAATGATCGAGCCAGTTATTATAAATCTTGGTTCTTAAAGTTCATCTTCTGAATCTGATTTGGATTTGTAACAAGTAGCTGTAAGTTTTATTAATATTTTTATTCATCCATTTAACATACCTTAGACGGTTTTAAAAGCTCTTTTTCTCTTTTGTAATTTTTAAAAATTAAAAAAAATGTGAATTTTTTAAAACCCTTTTTAATGTAGGCCAGTCAGTTCTAATATAGTGTGTGATAAAAGAGGTCACTTTTGTTTACATACACATAACACTTTATAACACTGAAATAATTCATTTATTTTTTACAATTATTCAAAGTAATTTTTCAATTAATCTTGAGCACGCCCATGGAGTGGTCGAAGGTACCAGTTAAAATTATGCTAATTACTCTCTCGTTCATAAAAATAAACTATAATTATTTTCAACTACATTAAAAACGTAACAATTGATAGTTTAGACTATTTTTTAACATAATAGTTACGTTATTAAGTGTTTAAAATATGCTCAATTTGTGAGTTGACAGTACCCTAATCGATGGTAGAATGCGTCTACCACATTTCTCCATGATTGTCTAGAAATTATTTGAGATTAATCGATAATTCGTTGCCTTTGCTCTGCAAGACTTGGCTGGTTAAGTTTTGTAAACTGAATTTCTCAAGTATCCCTAATAAAAATAATCTTTAGGATTGAAATCGGGTGAACGTGGAGGCCATTCAATTCTACCTTGTCTACCAATTTATCGTACGGAAAATATCTCATTTAAATAACGCCGAACATTTACACCAACTATCTGACGTTAAATTTCCTTCGATAAAAAATGACCCATTTGACTAAGTACCTACTATACCTGATCATACATTTAATTTTTGTGGTCTGGTATGGTTTTCACGCATTCAGTGTGAATTTCATACGAGTTCAACTATTCAATACGAGTTCAAAAATATGTAACACTTATGATTGTATGTAATCTGGAAGGTCTTAAATACATAAAACAGTGCAAAATATGAAGATTTTAATAAATTTCAATATTTAAATGTAGAATGCTGTGATATTGACATTTGTTCACGATTTACATTATAAACTAAAACTGACAGTAGTTGTGTCACGAAAATTCACACTGAATGCGTGAAAACCATACTCAAAGACCACAAAAATTAAATGTATCGTCAGGTATAGTCAGTCAATTGGGACATTTTTTATCGAAAAAATTTAACGTCAGATAGTTGGTGTAAATGTTCGGCGTTATTTAGATGAGATATTTCCCGGACGATAAATTGGTACACAAGGTAAAATTAAATGGCCTTCACGTTCACCCGATTTCAACCATAAAGATTATTTTTATTAGGATACTTGAAAAATTCAGTTTACAAAACGTAACCAGCAAGTCTTGCAGAGCTAAGGCAACGAATTATCGATGAATCTCGAATTGTTTCTAGACCATCATGGAGAAATGTGATAGACGCATTCTACCATCGATTAGGGTACTGTCAACTCATAAATTGAGCACATTTTGAACACTTAATAACGTAACTTTTGTTAAAAAATGTTCTAATCTATCAATTGTTAAGTTTTAATGTAGTTGAAAATAATTAGTATTAAAAAAATTATTGAAACAATTAGGCGTTGCCAGACTTGTGTTTTATGTATTTAAGGCCTTTCAGACTACATAAAATCATAAGTGTTACATATGGTTGAACTCGTATTGAATAGGAGATTCCAATAATGACTAAATATATAGGGTGATGCATTTAAAAAACCAAAGTTACTAATAATATAAGAGACAAAGGAAAATTTGGCAACATTGCAAATATCAAATATGGATTTTTCGTACCCAAAATAGGTTAACCATAAATTTTGTACAATATTATAACTAGCAATTTACGAGATAATTGGCCGTTTCCAGACTTTTGGGCCACTCTGTATATAATATATATTATATATTAATATTATTATTTGTGTGATATGTTTAGTATTATTTATTAAATGCTCATAATTATTTTAGGCTTTTGTATTTCAAAATAACAATAA